TCAGATGACACTACACTTTTCTTAAAGTGGTAGGTCACGTGGTGAATGAGGAGATAGGTAATGTTTAAACATTAATGATAGAAACATATATTCTGATCAACTTGTGACTGTCTTCCTGGGGGGAAGGTCTTTTTCGGGCTGAATTGGTTTTAAGGTGACCTACTTGATATTAGAAGATGTCATCGAGTTCCTCCACTGAGGTCGTCTCATTCGTCCGATACGTGAGCCACGCATATCTGCAACGGTCCAGGTTACTGTTGATGATGGGGTAGCTAACTTGCTGTGCACACATTGGCTGCCACATTCACTTACAAAATAACCAGTGGCTACACCTTACAGTGTTATCCTGTGAAGCGCTTTGAGACGTCCTCTCGACATGAATGCTGCTGTATCAAGTGCAAGGATTATAGATTATTATTATTTTTCTACCTTTATTATATTCTGAAAAAGTCTACTATATATTTGTTATCTTTAGCTTGTTAATAATAATTTTGTTTCATTTTAAAACACTTATTTAGGTTCCAAATATCTATACCTATATGTGTTATGGCCATTCTGATGGAGGAAGTAAACAACAAAAACAACTTGCATTTATACAGTACTCTTCATGCAGCGTAGAGTGTTTAACAGTAGGGGAAGGAGTATACAACAACACATGTTGTATTGATCATGTTTTGTTTCAATTAATATCTGCTGTTTGTACTAATTACATTTCTATTGTTTTTTTCTCCCTCTTTAAGACTATCTGTGCAATGATTTGTGGCCGACCAATAGTAAAACCACAGTTTTTTCTCAGTGTTGCTGAAGCCATCCGGAGTAGACAACATTTTCCCAGTGCTGAAAGGTAGCGGTAATTTATATAATTTGTTTTTAAAAAAATATCCACTTTGTGTAATGATTTGCACTGAAAGACCTTTTAACAACAGCAACAACTTGGATTTATATAGCGCCCTCCACGCCGGAGCGCTTCACAGTAACGGATCCCAGGGCCAAGCCAAGTACAGTATATGTTACCAACCCAATTCCAGGAAATATTCGGCAAGAGTCAAGGTTTGAGGACTCCAAAGCGTACTCCAGTGTGGTACTGCTGGAGTTTAAACAGCTAAAATGGCACAGCTTGTCATTGTCTGGCAAGTCAGGAATCATACAATTGTGCTTGCCACAAAGATTGACTCGATTCCGACATTCCGTCGCCAAGCTCATCAACTTGGAGCGAGCTCAGTGCTACGCATTTATCTCCCCCTCAAGGAACAACAACAAAATTACATTTCGTAAGGAAGTAGTTAAATACTCATTTCTGAAACATTTGCACTGTGTTTATTCAAAATGTTTGGAGCTGCCTCATTGCTGAAGTTTAGAGCCATTTTCATCTGAAGCTCGTTAAACGTTTTTAGCATGTTTAAAATTTAATTTTTTAAAAAAATTTGTGCAGAAGTGTTCATACAAATCTTTCACAAAGAACAGGTATAAAAAAGGAATTATTCGAGTTTTAGTTATTAATTCTGGCATGTAGCAGATCAACTGATGAGAACGATTGTTATGTTAGGATTGAACATTTAATGAGCCTTTTTTTGGAATAAGAGTGTAGAACACAAAATTATCAATACCAATATTTCTTGCAGATACCTTCCCAAATCTTTTTGTGGATGCTGTGATGAAATGCAGTTATCCAATTCTGGATTGCAGTACATAGTCGCTGCCACTAGAGGTCACCTAGAAGCAGTATAAATGTAAAAAACCCTGTAGAAATAAAACCTGATTTCCTTCAGATGTACTTAATTGTATAAAATTTGAAACATTTATGTACAGTGGAGCAGTGGCATTTGAATTTCTGGTCTTTTGCTAGTCTTTATGATGTCCGTTTCTAAGCAGAGTGCGTGTATGACAGAATTAGGATTGATGAGGGCTGCAAATACAGTGTGTTCATGTTTATTGCTTAGTTTCTAGTACATTGAAATAATGAAAACCCAATGAATCCCTGATGTATCATGAATTTATATAGTTCCTGTCATGTCAAAAGAAACATTTCCCCAAAGCATTTTATATTACTTACAAACCAATTGTAGCAGAAGAACACTACAGTTTAGCTTTCAGCACCAACTGACTGGTTTCCTGTGTGTTGCACAGGAAGCTGACACACTTTGGAAAGGATGACTTGGAAGTACTGACGGGCAGATATATTTTAGCATGTCTCGTGATAACACAAGATCCGAGTTTATGGATCCAAACCATCATGTTCCAGTAGGGTCACCCTGTTATCAGAAATGAACTGGTGAGGAGTTAGTATTGTTGGTTAAATAATGAGAAGAAATAAATGAATGGGAATCATTCTGAAGAAAAATGCTTTGTGCAAGTGACACAGAGGTTTTTAAACAGAATGTATAACAGAATTGGAAATTTTATCTGCTACAACAAATCTGCTTCAGAAAGAAACATTCAGTTTTGTTAGTTACAAGCATCATAAGTTATATTTGACTAACAACTAAAATATTTTATTCCCTGCACAAATGAAAATGTTCAGGGTACTGTGAAACAGGAGCTGACTTCATTTACTTTATTTTGTTGCAGTTTTTCCCCTCCTATTGATGAACCAAATATCAAAGCCGAAGATATGGTAATAAAACCAGAAAGGAAATGGATTTTCGTAGGCAAAACATTCATATTTTTTAATGGAAAACAGGTATTGTACTGGATGCATTTAGAAAGGAAGCTGCCTGTCATATTATCAGGCTTAATTGTGATTTTTTTGAATCTGCAAATGTCAACCATTAGAATAAATTCTAAACATGAAATGATCTACTAAGAGTGTTTGTGGGAAAAAAAGAAAAATAGCTTAAAGGCGAAGCTAAAGTATTTTCAATCTAAAGTGTGTGCCCATTCATTTTTTAGCGCAAGATATTTTCAAAATTATCTTTTTAAGATGTATGCTCCTGCAAATTACCACCTTGCTATGTTTTGTCTGCAAACTGGACTCTGACCAATATCAAAGGAAATGAAAGGAATCCTGACAATAGAGCTTGTCTGCTTCACTTCAATACAATTGGATTTTTGTTGTTTGGCTTTAATTACGCACTCTTTGATTAATTGCTGCACACCAACATGAGACAGTTAAAAGTAATAGTATCAAACTCTTCTGATGGCCAAGTCGGTAAAGGCTCTGCTCAATGCAACATTAATTTATAGTGACAGGAAGGTTAGAGGTTAGAATCTGAACTTTGCTGTGTTAGCTGATCTGAACCAGGACAACAATGAGGGCAATACGTTGACCTCAGTACTTTGAATTAGGAAAGTATTAAAGTGGTGTTAGTTGTTATGTATGAAAACACAACAGCTATTCTGTAGCAGCAATATTCCACAAACCACAATGAGATGAATAACCACGGGAATTTGAATGAGGAAGGGACATGGTAAGTTTCCTTACTCCACACACCTAATAATATTCCCTCCAAAACCAAAAACAATAATAAATTGGTCATTTTCAATCTACGACTGTTTGTGGGACATTGCTGTGTGCAATTGGCTGCCGCGTTCGCCCACAAATATAGTCAATTCACTTTACAGTGTGTTCTGTGAAGCGCTTTGGGACGTCCTCCCGACGTGAAAAGCGCTATATCAAATGCAAGGATTATTATTATGGTACAAAGCTACTTCACTTTATAGTAATTCCTGTAAAACTCTCTTGCTTCTGATGTGAAAGGACTATCAAATTTAAGGATTATTTTTATATTTAGCCAGAATATTGAAAAAATAATTTGGTCACTCAATCCACACTGCGTTGCGCAATTGGCTGCCGGTACAGTCAAATTTACAGTAAATTCACCTTGCAGTATATTCCATGAAGCACTTTGAGATGTCTCGAAGACATGATCCTGGTCCTCACCTTCAAAGCCCTCCACGGTCTTGCTCCCCCCTACCTCTCCGACCTCCTAACCCCCTACTACCCTGTTCGCTCCCTCCGCTCAGCAGCCTCTGGCCTGCTTCATGTCCCCCGCCTTGCTCGCCCCACTATTGGCGGGCGGGCCTTCTGCCACTCTGTACCCATCCTCCAGAACTCCATCCCGCAGTCCCTCCGACTTGCCCCCTCCCTCGCCACCTTCAAGACCCACCTCGAGAATCCTCTTCGACCGTGCTTTCGATCTCCCTGCTTCCCCCCCCTGCCCTCCACCCTCCCCCACCCTGACCCCCAACTCGGGTCCATAAGTCCAGCGCCTTGGGCTGTCCGCCCAGCGTGAAAGGCGCTATACAAATGTAATTTTGTTGTTCTTGTGGTAAGGTGCTAGATCAAATGCAAGGATTATTAAAATTTCTGGGGTCAAGTGTTCTTAACCCCTCCCCTCACTCTCCAACCCCATCACCAGGCAGACAAGACCTTGGTTGAAAGATGATATTCTTACCGTTACAAAACCCCCTTGGTGTATTGCACTGGAGTGTCAGCCAAGACTATGGGCTCAAGCACTTTCAACCTGCAACTTATTGAACCAGAAGAGAGAATAATAATCCTTGCATTTGATATAGCACCTTATCACATCTTCAAGATTTCTCAAAGCGCTTAACACAATATACTGTAAAGTGAATTGACTGTATATTTTGTGGACGAATGTTACAATCTGAAAGAAATTGATATTTCTGTAACATCCTGAATTCGCAATGCTTTCTCAAATGTTTGAAAAAGGATAGTGTATGTACCATGCAAGATTTTAAAAAAAATACATTCGGGATTCTGACTACTATAAATTACGCTTATGTTTTATAGCACAAGAGACTGGGTCCCGCTGTAACTCTAGGAGGAGGCAATGTTAAGCTTATAGAGGAAAAGGGTCCAAACCTGTCTCTTCTCGAAGCACCAGGGAGCTGTGTCATAGACGTGGGGGTATCCGATTCCCAGACTGCTTCGGATTCAACAAAAAAATGGATTGACTCAGCCCTGATCACATTGCAACGGTAAGCTACTGTTTTCAGTGCAGAATGTTATAATTTATCAAAAAGCAACTGACAGGACCGTATTCGTTTTATAGTCCTATTCAGGTGATTTTTGAGTTCTTTACAAGCATCTCTTGAGATATAGCTAAATGTTGCTTTTAGAAAATCTACATTTTGCAAGTTGTCAACTCTTGTTTTAGCATAATGCTATATAATGTCAATCTTTCTATTTTAAAATACAGTATCCCTCCCTACGTCTCACCGGACTCTGGGCACATGGCATTTGACTCTAGCTGGATCAGACACGAAACCTAAAAATTAAAAAAAATTCTGCACGAATGAAATTTCCCCCCGGCCCACTGGCCAACACCACACTAAACAGTCTTACTGCCCCTGCTGGCCTTCACCTTGGCCAGGGATATCGACTTTTGACTCAAGATTGTTTGAAGCCTGCGAACAGAAAATAGCTTGTTCGCTCCTCTTCTACTTATGGGTTTCAAGCAATTACATTTTTGATAAATGCCTGAAAGTGTCAATACTAGCGTTGTAATTACAATTAGCTGGAAATTCCTGCTCGCCGGACTGGATCTTCGCGCCCACCCCACCACTAGTCCGGCTAGTTGAGGGTTCAGTGTAGTGTGAAATGGCTTTTGTGGGTGCAGTTGTTTTTCATGACATCATGTGAAAGTTGTACTTTCTTGCTGCGTTTCATAGTTTAACATTTTTGGCCATCATTTAGTTGATTCATTTATTAATAATATTTTCTTTTGATTGGCTAGAAAAGGACTACGGACCATATCTGAGGCAGAAGTTGGATTAGCAGTTATTCACATCTCAACAGATATTTATTGCAATCCGCTCAGTAATCCCAATTCAGGTGAGCATGACAATTATACCCTTGGTTGTTCCTTATTTTAACCTGCATTTGGGATAAAGAAAGTGTTTGCAATGCCATATATTCTCACATATAAAATAACTGCAGTTTTAATACTTGTTCTACTTGTTAATGCAGTAACCTCCCTCCTCTGCTCTGTCCAGCACTTTCTCTGTAAAGTGCTGTTGCTCTTTGTGAAGGTTGATAATATCAATGTTGTCACAAAATAAATATCACTGTATAAATCAGGATTCCAATCTATCAAGCTGCAATATGTTGATCTTTACAGGATAGCATTTTTCAAACAACAAAAAAGTTCCTTGGTACCTAGGTACCAGGGACTAAGTTTCCTCAAAATTCCATACAATTCAATTCTAGGTGTATGTTTGTGAAGTGAATAGTCACTATATAATTTAATTTATATACAAATATAATTGTTATATTGAAAACAATTGGTGAAGATCAGACTGCTATGGATTATTACATATGCATTTTATCTTGAGTTCTGTGTAGAAGATAACATGCTTGTATGATACTTTTAATTCCTCCAATTCCTTTGTTATTTAAGGAAGTTATAATGGGAATGCTTAATATCTAGCCTATAAAAATTAAATGCTGAATTTGTTCAATGAATTTAATTATATCAATAACGTCTTGTGTAAATTTCAAATCAATCAGCCTTTCAGAGAGTTGAATAATTTGCTTGAAAGTTACATGGCACTTTAGTTCCTAAAATTTATGTTAAGCTTTAAGGAAGGAGATTTTCTGTCATTTATTTGGGGAATGTTTTGCATCAAACGTCTCTTGCTACTCTTGGCAAATGTTTCATTAAAAAAGCGTTGCCTTGATGGAGCCTCTTGAAAATTAACAAAATTGAAACTGGCATTTGTTAATAATGGATAGTACTTTTTTAAAATTGCAGGTAAGCTTTACAATTCACAGAACAATTTACAAAATTGTATCAGGACAATGCCACCATACTCAATTCGCTTATTGATGCACTCTAAATATAACAACAAAGTTTAACAATTTTGGATGAAATTAGATGCTGCAATTATACTGGGTGTTTAGTGTCAGTGCTGCATCTGCACCAATTGTGCAATATGATGCTGCAAATTTACTTTTAAACTTGAGATTTGCATGAGTAATTGATTGTTAGAATAGCAAATCAATTGCTATAACAGCTAACGTGAGATTGGAAGAATTGTAGCTAAGAACGCACCTGACTAGACATGTTGATGACTCACTCGTGTGTGATGAACCAAACGTACAGAAATATTATGCCCATGATAAATAAATAATCATTGCATATGATACAGTGTCTTTCACATTCAGAAAGGGCATCTTCACAGGATTCACTGTATGTTTTAGGCAAATGATATGATAATTTATGACGTGGAGTCCTGTAGCTTGGTTGGAGCACTCGCCTCACAAGTGAGAGAACCCCAGTTTGATTCCCGGCAGAGCGAAACATTGGGCATGTTTCCTTACTCCACACTCCTCTGTTTACCTAGCAGTAAATAGGAACCCAGTTGTTAGTTGATTGACGAAGCGCTTTCACGGGGGTAATTATCCCTTCAAAAATAATTTTTAAATTTTTTAAAAGAATAATAATAATTTGGCCACTCAATCCACGACTGCTTGTTGGACACTGCTGTGCACAATTGGCTGCCGTCTTTCGTCCACAAAACATACAGTAAATTCACTTTACTGTATGTTCTGTGAAGCGCTTTGAGACGTCTAGAAGTGATAAGGCACTATAATCAAATGCAAGCGTTATTATTGTTATAATTCTTCATCTCTTTGCAGATACAATGCTCCTGACAGTATCATTATATTATGGAGTTTTTTTTATTATCGTGTAAAGCAAACTGGCTGATGGCTATGCTTTTTTCCTTATTTTTCTTCTAGAAATGCACTTCTCTTCAAAAACAATTTCAAGGCCTACACTTTCTCAGCAGATGGATGTCGACAACATGACTGAACCAGGCATCTCACAACATACCTCATATGTACCAGATACACAAAGGACCAATACAAGGTAAGCAAAATCCAACTCTACATCAGAAATGACATGATTTCTGTGGAGTCCTGCAGCTCAGTGGTTAGAGTACTCTCGTCGCAAGCGAAAGACCTGGGTTTGATGCCCGGCACGGTAAAATGTTGGGCGAATTTCCTTACTCCACACGCTTCTTGTTTACCTAGCAGTAAGTAGGAACCCGTTTGTTAGTTGCTTGGCAGATCGCTGTTACAGGGGTAATAATTTCTTCAAAAAAATAAAAAATAAATTGGTCACTTCGATCCAGGACTGTTTATTGGACACTGCGATACGCAATTAATTGGCTGCAGTGTTTCGGCCACAAAATACAGGCAATTCACTGTACAACAACAACAAGATTACTTTTGTATAGCGCCTTTCGCGTCGGGAGAACGTCCCAAGGTGCTGGACAGTGTACAGCATTTCAGAGTATATTCCGTGAAGCACTTTACGACGTTTCGAAGACTTGATAAGGCACTATATAATAATAGTAATAATAATCCTTGCATTTGTTATAGCGCTTTTCACATCTTCTAGACTTCTCAAAGCGCTTCACAGAATAGACTGTAAAGCGAATTGACTGTATATTTGTGGGCGAAATTCGGCAGCCCACAAACAGTCATGGATTGAAATAACCAATTTATTATTGTTTTGTTTGAGGGATTATTACCAGGTGTGTGGAGTAAGGAAACTTGCCCAAGGTTTCACCCTGCTGGGATTGGAACCCAGATCTCTCACTTGCAAAGCGAGCGCTCTAAACACTGAGCTACAGGACTCCATGAGTGCATTTTTATCAAATGCAAGGATTATTATTATTATTTAACGATATTTTAAAACAAATTGAGAATGCAAACATTTTTAAATATTTCAGAAAATTCATACTATGTTCTTCAATGTCAGCCAACAGTTTGTGAAAAGGATGAAGACTAAGCACTATATACGTAGGATATTACAAATATCTAATTGTGACCAGTTATTATAAACAATCAAAATGATTATTTGAATAGAGACAGATGTTCCTATCTTTCTTCCCTTTGTGGTCTCTTATTAGCTGTAGACTCCAATGGAGAGGCAATTTAAATAGCTTATCTTTAGTTTGTTGCAGCACAACTTCAACATTATGGTTGGTACTGAAAAAGATTGGTGCACTTAGTGTAGGTTGAGGTGTTGCTGAGGTCAGTTTCCTGTTACTCTTCCTCCTCTTTCACACATTATAACAAGTCTGAATATGAGATGTCAACAATAACAACAAGATTACAAGATTACATTTGTATAGCACCTTTCACGTCGGGAAGACGTCCCCAGGCGCTGGACAGAGTACAGCTTTTCAGACTCCAACTGGGGTTGGGGGGGTAAGGGAGGGGAGGGGATGGGGGGTGACCGATGGCACGGTTGAAAAGGAGGGACTTGAGGCGGGACTTGAAGGAGGCTAAGGAGGGGGTAAGGCGTAGTGACTGGGGGATGGAATTCCAGAGGTTGGGGCAGAGTGGCTGAAGGCTCTCCCGCCAGTGTCACTCTATTAATAGAGATTGTAAAGTTGAAAATTGATTGATTTTGCCCTATGTGGGTGGAAGATTTATGTTGGGTAACCTTCAGCACAACCCTCGGCTGAATCCATTCACATTTTCAAGACGGAGGTAGATAGATATTTGTTAGGTCAGGGTAATAAGGAATATGGAGTAAGGGCAGGTAACTGAACTTGAGGTACAGATCAGCCATGATCTTATAAAATGGTGGAACAGGCTTGATGGGCTGAAAAGCCTATTCCTGTTTCTATGTTTCTACAACAAACAGATTTCTATAAATCGGCGAGTATCTCATAAACTATGTTTGTTCTTCAATAATCCTAATCTGGATGCATGTAATAAGTGTCAACTCACTGTTAGGAAATAATAGAATTTCTTGCTTTTGATGTAATGCCTTTCATGTCGAGAGGATGTCACAAAGCACTTCTCATGATTTACCAGTTAAGTGTAGTGACAGTATATTCCTTAGGTGAATGCCTGCAGACACTTTTTACACAGCAATGTTCCTCAAACAGCCATGATGTGAATCGCCAATTTTATCTGGGGCTTATTGACCAGGACACCAGGAGAAACTCCTTTCTTGTTCAAATTGTGCCATTGAATCTTTAATTGTCCACCCAAACAGACAAAAAGGACCGCGGTTTAATATCTCATCCAAAGGATGGCATTCCTAACAATGCAGTGTTCCCTCTGCACTTTTGTGGAGTGTAAATATAGACTGTAAGTTCAGACTCTGAACTCGAAGGTGAGAGTGTGACCAACTGAGCCAGGCTAACAAAACACTTGATCCAAACATGATTCAGAACATAAACAATGATTTAATCTTGCTCAGGTAAACATTGCAGGCTCCCTGTTGTGCTCTTATGTGGATCCTGCTTCAGAGTCTGATAGAGTTGGCAGGTAATTGGCCATTATGAATTATTTGAGTTAACTTATTCTACAGTTTTAACATTATATTTCCTATTCTTCCTACCTTTAAGGAATTGTTGTACATTTTCTACATTTGTTTAGCTGAGTTGCCAGTACTCTGGTGGTATGAAATCGACATCCTGCCATTAGAATAGTGTGTTGTACATCATTGTAGTCTTGTGGTTTAGTGGTTAGAGCACTTGCCTTGCAAACAAGAGGACCTGGGTTTGATTCCCAGGCAAAGCAAAATGTTGGGCAGGTTTCCTTACTCCACATGCCTCTGTTTACCTAGCAGTAAACAACAACTGTTGTTAGTTGATTGGTGGATTACTTTTATGGGGGAAATAATCCCTTCAAAAATAAATAAATCAATAAAAAAGATGTGGTCACTCAATCCACGACTGTTTGTGGGACACTGCTGTGCACAATTGACTACTGCATTTCGCCCCCAAAATTCGCCCACAGTCCATTCCCTTTATAGTATATTCTGTGAAGCGTTCAGACGTCTCGAAGACCTGATCAGATGCTGTATGAAATGCAAGGATTATTATTGTAATTGCGCTGTGGCACTTCATTACATCCNTTTTTTAATTTAAATATTGCAATTGTCCAATGCATATTTGTGAAATGTATTGACAAAGATTACAGAAAACCCTTAACTTACTGTTTTTTTTAAAAGAAAAAATTTATTTGAGAGTTCTGGGGGAGGAAAAAGATGGTTAGTAACTGGTGATGGTAAATTCCTCAACTGCACCCTAATTAATAATGAAACACAGGCAAAATGGATATCTCTTTCATTAAGCCAGCATATGGGCAGAATACCTTTCTGTTCTGATATTAGACTGTACATGGTAATATCAATATTGATATTGATGTTAATCGCAATCTTGCTACAGGATGAATGTAAACACCACAGTGGAGGTAAAAGAGACTCCTGAAACAGACGAAGAAAGCAAGATTGTATCTCAAGACATTTCAGTGGTAATCCATCCAGCAACCAGCATGTTTTCACCAGATCAAAGACCAAAATCGAAGAAAGAAAAAAGCCGAAGTTTTAACACTGGAAACGAGGAGCCGGGAGAAATGGCAATGTTTAGCAGTGTGAGGAACAAAGACAAGAATGAACCTCAGTCCAGTTCTATCCATGACTTCTTTCAGCCAATAAGAAGGAAAAGGTAAGGCATTGACCTATCAATTAAATGACAGGTGAAGCCTTTGACAGGCTAAGTGAAACCTTTAATGGTACTTTTCTCTTCTGTTGCATTATTTATTAGCTGTCCATTTTACGTTTGTTCTTAGTGTAACTGTTTTTATTGCTTGCATGAAAGGAACTTTTTTTGAAGGGACAAAGACATCTGCTTTTGTATTTTTTTGCCTTTGTCATTATTTTTTCAAAGATTTTCTTATTTTTTCTTTTATAAGTTAAAATGAAACAAAGCAGCCATCTGCTTCTCAAGTTGAATCTGAAAAGGGAAATGTCAGTAAATTGAAAGTAAATTTAAATAATGGAAAGAAAGGAACTGCTTTTTTTCTCCAATTCTCCTTTATAAAGTACACTGGATCCCTTCCAACTCTACCTACCAACCCATCTCCAATCTGCCTTTCTTCTCAAACATGTTGTCTCCCAGCTCTGTTCCTTCCTCTTCCACCATTCCTGTTTGAGTCCTTCCACTCTGGCTTCTCCTGCACCGACATTACTACAGAGTCAGCACTGATCTAAGTCACACGCCTTTCTGTTTGCGATTAGGTTTCTGTGTCTCCTCATCCTCATTGATCTCTCTGCTGCCATTGACATTGTTGACCACTCCATCCTTTGCCACTGTTTCTCCTCCCTGATCCACATTCAAAATTGCATATTCCTGGTTTCACTCCTACTTATCTAGCATTGTTACCACGGTCCATATCTTCTCCCACACTAGGCTTTATGAACTCATCAACTCCATCCTCACCTGGCTCTACTGCTCACTATCACTCAAGGGATCAAGTTTAAGATTCTTGTCGTCATCTTCACATGGCTGCAAAGCCTTGTACTACCTAGCTCTGCAATCTCCTGTAACTACTATTCCGATCATTCTCTCCACTCTGCCAGGCTGCTTCATGCCTCCACCCACTCTGCCCCACCATCTACGGACAAAGCTTCAGCCACTTTTCCCCCTACTCTTCCCAAATCTCTCTGCACTGCCCCTTCTCTCTCTGCTTTCAAATCCTGCTTGAACACCTACTTCTTACTGCACTTTAGTCTTTGTAAAGTGCTTTGCGATGTTCACCTGAAGTGAAGGCGTTACATAAGTATAATTATTCCTGTTAATTATTCCTGTTCATGTGAAACAAACATTGTTTTGAATGCTGAAAAGGTTCAAAGCAATTGTAAATAACATAAGAAATGCTAGACAATAAAAGACCAAGGTCCGTCTTGTTCACCTTCCACCTTCCTGGTGGTTGCATGCATGTATGTCCCGAACATAATTTATGGGATTTGAAAGGCAAACGTAAAAGGATTTGTTTCATTCTTTTACGTTTGCTTATTTAGTTATTNAAAAAAAGATTTCAAACCTTTCCTTTTTTTAACTTAAACAGAGAAAGACAGGGGGATGAATCGACTCAAAGCAAATTTGCAAGAACGGAGGACTCAAAACCATCCTTGATCCATCAGACCTCCATGTCGGAGCCTTCAGTGGGAAGAAGAGACCTCGATCTCACTCAGTTCACCCAGGCTGAGAGATTTTCAGCAAGCTTCATAATAGGATCCTCCACTGAGGGTTCAAAAGGGAATTGTGAAGTTGTTTGTAAGAGAGAAACAACTGGCATTAATGTCCCTGACAAAAGCATTAGGCTTGCTGATGAAGTGCACAGGTCAAACAAAAGAAAGGGACTTGATGATTTTAACATCCAGCCTGTAGATGGAATTCTGGAAGATGATGCTGGACCCAGCAGAGAGGAATGGCTGGTTATAAGTAAGAGGAGGAAGGTAGAACCAGAGGATTTGTCTCTCCCTGAAAAACCATCCAAAGCAGAATTTGACCACAAACTCCTTGTGAGTAGCATTTTTATTATTACTACTTCAGCTCTGATTATGAAATGTTCGAAACAGCTATTTTTTAATAGATTTTCCAAGTTGAGCACTATCTCTTCAGTCCTCATTTGAGCTTTTCATGCTATTTATTTTATTAACGTAATTCAAGGTGCAGTATGACAAGCTGTGTTCACAGGGGTAACGAGAGGCACATGGAGAACAATTTAGAAAAGAGCAGCTGCCTTGATGGTCTAATAAGTAATCGCACCATCTGGTGCAGCACAAACCCCTACAGGTTACAGTTTTAACTCCTGCTCCATGCTGACTTAGCTGATCTCACCCAGGCCAGTCATCAGAGTATTGCAATTGCTTGTGTTCCTGGTTTGGCGAGGGGAAAGTGAGACAGGGCTCTTGTTTATGATTTCTGTCGAGATATTCCTGCTGGCACGTGTGCATGTATGAAATAGGTGGATAGCCTGCCAACACTCACTGCCAAGGCTCAAAATAATGGTCACTTTAATGAAGTATGGATGACTGGTGTCCATTGACCATGTTCCGGTAGAAGAAAAAGTCAGACATTGTCAAGAGAAGAGGGGGAAAGGAAAAAATTGGAAGTGGAAAATCGGGATAAAAATATAAAATAATTCTTCTGCCTATGGCTTTATAATTTAGTCACAGCATCACTCCTCAAGCTTCAATATGTTTGTTTGATAAGAATATATTGATAATACAGTGGGGAAAACTGACTTGAAGGAACTGGAGTAAGTCAAAGTCAGGAAGTACCTTGAGTTGCAATTATTAACACAATGTGCCTCAATGCTTGTTGGGTAGAAATATCATTTGGGTGTAAATTTACTCTCAACTACAAGCATGTGGGAATAATGAAGTAGAAAAAATGGTCTGACCTTATTATTTATTTGCATCCAGCATTCTGATAAACGTACATCAGAAGTAAAACAGAAGACTGAAATTCTGGATCCATTGGCTGTATCCCTAAATGAGTCAAATAATGTAAGTATTTGAGGTTCAATAAGGTCTAACTTTACTGAAAAGGATAAAAAAGTAATAATAAAATAAACTTTACTAAAGTTTGCTAAAACTACCAACAAAATAATCTTTTGTTGCCATCATTTTTAGTTACAAGTGCACGAAAAGTCCTTTGTAAACAATTTGCGATGTCTGTATTTTATGCATGTAATATTTTCTTATATGTATATTGTTTAACTTCATGACAAAAGAGCAATTTCTAGTGAATGGCCAAAAATGTGGTTAGTAACAATGTGTAAATCTAAATCTTAAGTAATTTTATGTTACTTATGCAACTGTTACTTACATTTGAACAGCATCCTATACAGGGCTCAGTTCTACTACAACTGCTGTGACAATGTACATTTCTTTCCAGCATGAGAAATTATTCAATGAAGCTGAATATAATGAGATGCTTCCAAGCAAGCTCCTGCTAACTGTTTTCAAGACGCTTGTTAATCACACTAGACAAAAGATAGTTCCCACTTCAAATGCAGACAACAGCCAAGTGAAGAACTTTAAGAAGTTCAGAAAGGTTACTGATTTATCTCTTTTTAATCTTTTTTGTTTTGATCTCAGAACTGCAGAGGTTTCAGACAGTGGTTTAGTAAAAAAAAATCTATAGTTCTACTACAAGATGTTTTTCATTATTATCTCATTGCAAAGACTTCTGTCTCTGTGTCAATAAAAATATTTTTAAAATAAAAAGAAGAAACATATTGTGTGGTACTGGTAAAGTAAATTGAAGCTATGCAAAATGATTTAGAACATTATGTGAGGTATACTTATGTATTGAACTGTTGAGAAGTTGTTTTAATTCAGATCTAGCTTTTTTAAAAAGTTTTTAAAAAAATTTCCACAACTGATTGCATAATTATTACACTATTGTAGCTTACACATGTTTTTGACTTTTGCGGCAGGTATTGTACCCAGGTGGAGAAGGACTTCCCAGAATTATTGGGGGGACAGACCTCAAGGCTTATCAAACCAAAAATAACTCTGAAATGGAGGAGTGGTTAAGGCAAGAAATAGAGGTGTGCTGGAGTGAAAGATCTTGTTCAATTGCTTGACTGTATATTTCCTCTTGAGTGATTATTTTTTGCAATGCATAAGTAAATATATGAACAATATGTGTACTTTTCACTTTACACACAGGAACAGAGCCAACAAGCTAAGGATGACATTCTTGCAGATGACTTGTTCAGGTAGGAGAAAACCATTGTAATTAATAAAAAACAAGGCACATCTTAATTAATTCTAGAAATGTTTACTCCGGTGCCATTGCTTTGCCATTTTACTCCTGTGCGTTGACCTTGTTATGCAAGTAAAATAGAAAGAATATTTGAATTGTTAACTGATCAATAGCATAAGGTAGATTTACTGTTAAATGGCTTCAATAATAATAATAATCCTTGCATTTGATGTTAGCACTTTTCACGTCTTCTAGACATCTCAAAGCCTTCGCAGAATATCCTGTAAAGTGAATTGACCTCATATTTATGGGCGAAACGTGTCCCTCAAACAGTGGTGGGTTGATTGACAAAATTATTATTGTTTCTTTTACGGATTATTATCCCCGGAAAAGCGATTCGCCAATCGACTAATGACCAGGTTCCTACTTACTGCTAGGTAAACAGGCTTGTGGAGTAAGGAAGCTTGCCCAACATTTCGCCCTGCTAGGAATAGAATCCAGGTCTCTTGCTTGCGAAGCGAGTGCCCTAATCACTGAGCTACAGAACTCCACAATATGGAGTTTATGATGTTATATGTTGAAATTGCATTTAATTGGAGTATTACTGTGTTTCATTCCTTTCCCCTCCATAGATTTTGCATTATAATAATAATCATAGTGTGATACAGCACTTTATCACATCCTTGAAAACATCTTAAAGTGTTTCACTGAGGTTTTCTGAAAAATGTAGTGACTGTATTTATAAGTAAATGCGGAGGTCAGTTTCCTTTTTTTGTTGTTTTATGTGCAAATTGGCTGCCGCCTTTGCCTATAAATACACAAATCTCTGTGAACCACTTGAGATATTTTGAAGACTGTGATGAGTGCTTTATTACACAAGGATTATTATTATAATGTGACATCAATGTAGGTTCTCCTCTGATGCCCTGATAAGCACATAAAAATTAGCTTGGTTCTTGGTCTTCTGAGGAAGAGAATATTGGAAGGCAGATCAATTAAACACCTCAGAGTAGCTGGTTTGAAAGCAATATCGCTATGGGAGTAAGACACTGTCTACGTTTTGGGAATCGTGTAGCATGTCAAAACACAAGATCTTTGTATCAACTGAATGAATTGAATCTGCCTTATCTTAGAGGTTCAAGTAAACTTAAAAGGATACATTACATTTAATTGTTATCACCTACCAATAGTTACCCTGTCACCTGCGAGAATTATTTCCCCAACCAGAGGGACTTCCAGGTTGTGAAAGGAGATCCTTGTCCTTATTCATTGGAGAGGATATATTGAAGATATCCCCAGCTGATGACATTCCAGAATCCTTTTAGTGTGAAATGTTTGAAACTTATTTTATCGCAAGAATACACATTCTGCGATACTGTATTTGAATCACCAGAAATGAGCAAAAACAACTGTAAAATTGTTAATTATCTATTTTCCCTCCTCTTCAAACTGATACAATTAACTTTAACATTAGTTGATTTTTTTTACCGTTAGTTTATTTTTAAATTCAACATCAGTACAATCTTGTTTTCTTACACACATATGCATTTTGCTGATGGTTTCAGCAGCTGACTGCTGGATCAAATGTTGATTTTAAATCTGCTGACTGTTAATGCAAACATTGGCTTAATTCTGCTGATTTAATTGTTTGCTCGTCTGTTTAAGAACAGCACAATGGCTTCAGCTTCGGCATGTAGAACCAAGATTGCTGGGCGAGATATCATTCACCAGCATTTTTGAAATTCTAAAGCTAGTGAAATGTTCCTGATGAAACATTACAAAATAATATTCCACGTTCGATCTCAGATTTCCTGAAATCTTATAATTCTAGATATTCTTGAGATTCCAAATTTACCTTCCCAATAGTCCACTGGGAATAGATTCAGATTTGACACTCTAGGAGTATCTAGATTTTGTCATGTATTCCCGCGAATGTGTCCCATTGCTCAGTAAGTAGCACTCTCGCTTCTGAGCCAGAAGGTTGTGGCCAAGGCAAAATACCTCTTGGTCTGTCAGGGACCTCAGCAGTCTGCCCTTATTTAAAAGGTATTTTGCTGTTGTTTTGGGTGGAGATGTTGGACTTCCTCAAATGTAAAATCGAGGGGATTCGTTCGGCTATATCTTCTCCATCCACCGCTGCCCCCACCCAGCCCTCCCTTCACACCTTTAACCCTGTCTCCCCCTCTTCCCTCACCTCCATCATCTCAAAAATGAAGCCCACCACCTGCTCCCTCGACCCCCATCCCCATCCCTTCTCCTCACCTCCAAGCTCCACCTCCTGGCTCCTTTTTTAATCAACATTATCAACCACTCTTTATCCACTGGCACTATTCCCACCCCCCCTAAAAACAGCTGTCATCACCCCATCCTCAAAAATCCTTCCCTGGACCCATACCTACTCTCCAGCTATTGCCCCATCTCTAACCTCCCATTCCTTTCCAAGGCCCTGGAATGAGTCATCACATCCCAGGTTTGCTCTTTCCTACCGTTCCCTCTTTGAACCCCTTCAATCAGGTTTCCGTGCTGCCCACAGCATGGAAACATTCCTGGTCAGAGTTACTAACGACATTCTGAACATCTGCAACCAGGCTCTCACTCCTTGTCCTCCTCGACCTCTCTGCTGTCTTCGACACTATCGACCATTCTATCCTCCTACACCACCTTCTCCTTTCAGCACAACCTTTGTGGACCTGCCTTTGCCTGGTTCGAATCCTACATCTCCCACCATCTCCACTTTGTCGCCACTAACAGCTTCTCTTCCAGCTCCCGCACCGTCACATGTGGCGTTCCTCACGGCTCTGTCCTTGGCCCTCTCCTTTTCAATATCTATATACTCCTTCTCGGTGACATCACCCGCAGACAGAGGGTCAACTTCCACATATATGAGGATGACACCCAACTCTACCTCTCTGCCTCCACCCTTGAATCCAGGACCACTGTTGTCCTCACAGAATGTCTGTCAGACATCAAGTCCTGGATGAGACCTAACTTTCTGCACTTGAATGTCAACAAGATTCCTGCTTGGCTCCCGTCAGCGCCTCCATACTTCCGGTGCAGACAGCATTCGACATCTCACAGAGCCAATACGGATCCTCGATTTCCTGCTCGACCCTCATTTGTCCTTCATACCCTATCCATGCCATGACTCACTCCGCATTTCCTCACGTCCGCAACATCACCCGGCTCCGCCACGGTCTCACGCTATAGGCTGCCGAGACCCTCATACACGCATTCATAGCATCCAGGCTCAACTATGCAAACTCCCTGATTGTTGGCTTCCCCAACTCCTCCCTTCGTAGCCTACAGATCATCCAAAACTCTGCAGCCTGTGTCCTCTCTTGCACCAGGAACCGTGACCCTATCAACCCCCATCCTCACCTGACTCTACTGGCTTCCCATCACACAGAGAATACAGTTCAAGTCCGTGGTCCTCACTTTCATGGCCTCACTACCCCCTACCTCTGTGACTTCCTAACCCCATACCAACCTGCCCTCCCGCTCTGCTCAGCAGGCTCAGCCCTGCTTCACGTGGCCCGCATTGTCCACCCCACTATTGGCGGGTGGGCCTTCAGCCACTCTGCCCCCATCCTCTGGAACTCCATCCCTCTGCAGTCCCTCCACCTCATCCCCTCCCTTGCCTCCTTCAAGACCCATCTCAAGCTCCTCCTCTTTGATCGTGCCTTTGACCCTCCTTACCTCCCTGCCCTCCACCCTCTCCGATCCTGACCCCCAGCTCGGGTTCGAAACACTGATTGACCAGCGCCTTGGGATGTCCTACCGACACGAAAGGTGCTATACAAATGTAATTTTTGTTGTTTGTTTTTCTCATTGTTAAAAAAAATACAGATTATTTTTGTTTCCCTTTTATAAAGTAAAATATAAAATGGTCTTCAAATGAAACTCTTTTCTGGCATTTCCTAAGCATTACATAAGACACAGTGCTCTATGTGAACTGATTTTTCTTTTTCTGAAAGAATTGACTCATAATAAAAGTGATATCATAACTATCATGTGATCTATAGACATGCCTTTTCATCAAATTGGCAGAATTAAGAATGACCGTGAAGAAAAGGTTTTAGTGCAACAATGTTTGCATTTTGAACAGTCAATTATCAGATATTTTGAAACGGGTTAGACATTAGATGGCTATTAGATGTGCATTTATATGTATAGACCATAAATATTCAATTCTCTTTCTTCTAACATTAATGTGGTGAGTGTAATGCATTCATATAGGAAAGGCTTGCTTGCAATGAGCTGAAAGCCGTCTTGGTAAAGAGTGAATAAGGCCCTCAGCTTCTGAGGTCAAAAAATTAGGTTACAAAAGTTTGCAGCAGTTGAATATAGGTTTGTGTAGTCTTTATTTCTGTGAAATTGCTAGGAAACTGTGTGTCTATAGATTTATGGGGAAAAAAGCATTTTGTGATTTGCTCACTCAGAATAGGAAGGATACAATTTCTACAAAAGATATTTTTTCACACAGAATATTGAAATCGTCTGAACTTTTAAGATGTGGGAGGAAAATACTCTTAGTGTTTAAGGATGTGTTACTTTGTTACCATAAACCATTGCAATTTATGGAAGAATTACTTTTTGGGTTTGCTTGACTTTGTTCTAAACCTTATTTGAAAATAAGCAAGGCAGTTCTGACTGTCTGGATATAATAATAATAATAATCCTTGCATTTGATATAGCGCTTTTCACGTCGGGAGGACGTCCCAAAGCGCTTCACAGAACACACTGTAAAGTGAATTGACTGTATATTTGTGGGCGAATGCGGCAGCCAATTGCTCACAGCAATGTCCCACAAACAGTCGTAGATTGAAAATGACCAATTTAATTATTGTTTTTAGTTTTGGAGGGATTATTATTAGGCTCTGTGTGGAGTAAGGAAACTTGCCCAAGGTTTCGCCCTCTGCCTGGAATTGAACTCAGGTCTCTCACTTGCAAAGCGAGTGCTCTAACCACTGAGCTACAGGACTCCACACAGAGCAAGGTATACAAATATTTCAC